TTCCACCCAGCCTGGTTCCTGGTGCTCCCTCCCAGTGTTCATCCACATTCTTACCCTGAAGGGCAACAAATAAGCCCCGGGATGGCCTAGAGCGAGCCACAGTGGCAGGGTGAGTTCTTTGGATGCTGGAGAGGCCATGCCAGGCTCCTGGCTCTCTGTGGGTGCAGAAGCCCCAGGGAAAGCCAGGAGATGCCTTCAGCACTTGTCACCTGCCAGCAACCAGTGAGGGTGGGAGGGATCGGGAGCAGCAGAAACTCAGGGACACACTGATCCCCCCATCCCCCAAGAGCAGTGCAGGCTCTGGGTGATGTTCTGGAGAGGCAGGAGCCCAGAGGGAGGCCTGGAGGGAGACCTGGGACACTGAGGGATTTTTATCAAACAGGCTCTGTCCCATCCACAGTACCCTTCCTCCTAAGCCCTTCGCGGTCCCTTGCCCACGGGTACAGACCCGCCTCAGCTCAGCTCTGGCCACTTCTCTCTTCACGCACTAGGGCCCTCCATCCAGCCCTCTGTCAGGCACCAGGGAGCCCAGAGGAAGGCAGACAGCCTCTGTCCTGGCAGTGCACAGTTGGGGGGCATCCTGTAAGAGTTTCGAAGCCCACGGGCACCCCCGGAACACAGCAATCACACTTTGTGATAGTGGCCACCATTCGCGCAGTGCTCATCAGGGCTGGGCATCAGGGTCAGCCTCCAGGGAAGTCATGAACAGCTGAGCAGCCCCCAGGCCTCACCAACCCATTTTACATACCAGAGAGCAAGCGCAGAGAGCACAGCACACTCTCTAGCACACAGCGGGGTCAGCAGTCCTCAGGTCTGAGCCAGCCTCCGTAAGGTCTCAGTCTCCCTGTCCTGGACCTCACCCTCTCTTAAGTCCCTGCCTACTCATATCCTACTCTCTTTCCATCAGTCCTTCCTGAGTCCCTGCTACCCTACCCCACCCCAGCTCCAGCCCCACAACATCTCTCCTGAGGCCCAGGAGGCCACCTGAGAGCTGAGCCCTGGTAGGTGCTGGGCTCTGTCTGAGCCTGGCCACATCCCAGGTGTAAATCTCAGTTGAAGCACACACCTGAGTGCCTTGACTATGGCAGCTCAATTTTAACTATATGTGTTCAATGCCATTAAGAGGGTGGAATTCATTTTTAATGTCCAGAGCTCTGCAGCACATAGAAAGATCCACTGTAAAGGGATTTTCCCTCTGTCTTGGTGGTGGGCCCCGAGATGACAAGGGGTTAGGGGAGCAGGTCCCTGTTCAGGGACAGAAGGTGGGAGGCAGGTGAAACCTCTTCTTGGATGCCCCAAGGGCCAGGAATGGGCAGCCACAGCAGGGGCACCCACAATGTGTTTCTGTCCCATGGGCTCTGGCCATGCAGAGGACCCTTCTGCTGTGCCTCTCCCTGGGGGGCACTCTGTTCCTGATCACTGTATGACCTTAGAGGGCGGCTCAGCCTCTCTCAGCCCCTCTCCTCTTTAGCCACTGGGGGCAGCAGTGGTGGCCCTCAGGCTGTCCACTAGAGAGAGTCCACTGGGAGCAAATGACCAGGGTGAGACTGGGCACAGAGATCCAGATAGGCTCCTTCAGACCCCCTCAGACCAGATTCCACCCTGTCTTGGTTCCTGGCACTTCCCGGCCTGGGCTCCCAGGAGGGCAGGGGCCTGCAGTGGCAGAGGCGGCCAGCAGGAGGCAGCAGAGGGCCATGGAACTGCCAGAGCTGGGTGGCCAATGCTCATCAGCACCTGCTGTGGCCCACCCAGAGCACCCCAGTGCAGCTCTGCCCCCTGCCCCTGGGTCCTTGCCCACCTCCAGGACCCCGCAGACCCTGGCCTAGATGTTGCAGCGGGAGATCAGGTCTCACCTTTCCCGCTCCTGACCCTAGCCCAGCTGCCAGCCTGTGGCCACCTCCCCTTCAGGCCTCCCTCCTCCTCTCCCTCTCCCCCAGCACAAGGGCCCTCTGCACCCTCTCCACATTCTCCTCCTGGACACTGTCCTGACCCAGCCCGGAGCCCAGTGTGGGCTCTCCCTCCTGTACTCCTGGGCCCTGGAGGACGGGTTAAGGCTCTATTCTGGGCGGCACTCATGATGATGCGTTCCAGGGGCCATATGCACGCTTATGACTCCCCGGCACCGTGCATCCCAAATGCACCTCTCTGCAGCAAGGAGACCCCCGCAGTGGTGCAGATCTGTGGTCTGGGCCAGGGCCTGGCCATGCTGACCCAGGTTTAAGCATCCTCAGGGGCCCACTTCTCCCGGTGGAGGTCACCACAAGGGTGGCCACAGGCTGGGCTCACATGAGGCTGCCTGGAGCTCAGCACCTGAAGGACTGCAGAGCCTTGTGGCCTCCACTGACGGCTGGTGCCTTCCTGTCCTCCAGTGACGGGAGCTCACCCTTCGAGGCTGCAGGTTCCAGTTCCTTCCCGTCAGCCCAGGCTCCGTCAGCTTGCTCAGCCCCAAGGGTGGTATCCTGGAATTTGCCATCTAGGCTCCACCAGCCATCGACTTTCTTTCTCTGGTGTCTTAGCTGTAACTAGGATCCACTGTGTAACTAGTGAGGCCCACAGTCTCTCTCCAACCCAGCCACTCCTCAGGGCCTGCTCCAGGGCTTGCCTTCCCCCTCAGACCCACACACCCATCCTCCCTAGCCCCCCACTGGCACCACTGCTCCCAGGCACACCACCCTCTGCTCTCCCTCACTGGCTCCACGTCTGTCCCCCTCCCCAGTGTGCCCCAGTGTCCGTCTTGCACAGACGCTCCTAATTGTCCTCCTGCTCCCACCCACTCCTGAGAACCAGCCCAGCCCCCCAGCCACGCTGGCATCTCTCGCCCTCCCCCTCCCCACAGCAGCAGCTGGGCCTGACTGGGCCTCACCCTCTCCCACTGTGAGGACTGAGACCCAGTCGGCTCAGCTCATCAACAAAGACTTGTCCCTGCCATGGTGGCCGGTCAGGAATGGGCAGCACCCAGGCCAGCTAGGTTGCTGTGGCCTGCCCTGGGCACCATGATGGTCCACATTGGTGCCACGAGGGTGGAGCCGAGGGGGGCTGATGGATGGCTGGGGTGAGAGGTACACACTGGGGCTGCCTGAAGACATGGCCGAGAGAACCCTGAGGAGCAGAGCTGAGCCCTGAGCAAGCAGCACCTGAAATCCACTCTGCTGGGACTCTTCCCAGTTGCACAAGCCCACGAATGCCCTTCACCCTGCCCTCGTCTGTGATGGGTTTTCTGTGCCTTAGAGTCACAGACTCACTGTGTATCATCTCTGTCCTCCCCCACCATACCCCTACCCCAGCTCAAAACTTCTCCCCGCTCCTGTGGGATGCTGAGCAAAGTCTGGCCTCAGCACCTTTGCCCTTCTGTCTCCTGCCTGGAATGTGCCAAAGACCCTGCCATGCCTGGCTCCACCGCCTGCCGCCCTCTTCGCCGACCCTGCAGGCTCTTTGCTGAGTGCTGGTCACTTGTCATTTATCCCTCACATCCACCTCACATGGGGGGTGGACACCTTGCCTTCCATGTTTGATGCAATGAGCTGGAGGGGAACCCAGCCTCGTTTACCTGACCCATAGCCTTTGCTTCCCTCTGAACACCTTGCCCCAGGGGACCCTGTGGGAAGCAGGCCCGAGCTGTCCCAGGAGAGCCACACTCTCCCCAGAGGAAGGGCGGGCTGGGGTACTTCCCTGACCTGGAGTCCTGAGGTTCGAAGTTGGAGGTTCCCATGTGTCCCATCCCCATCCCTGCCCATCGGCCAGTGCAGAGCTGGTCAAGATTCCAACGTGGGGTTCACCCACTCTGTGCCCATGTGTGGGTGGACCCCGGATGCTGGGCCTTTCTCTCTCCCATCTGGAGCACGGGGGGTATTGTGATCATTCTAGGACATTATGTCAGGGATCGGGATAGGAGGATTCCTCCTGTCTCAATAGGAAACGGCACTTTGTTTTTCCTTTTTCTTTGCCCAGTTAGGAGGGAGGAAGCCCAGCAGGGAGTGCGCCCCCTCCCATGGCTTGCAGGATGGAACACAAATGTCTCCACTGAGAAAGGGCTGTGCTAGGCCAAGGTGAGCTCCAGTTTAAGGACCATCGTGGTTTTCTGCGAAGGAAAAGAGCAGAGGCTTCTGCGAGCAGAGGAGGTGGATTGGGGCAGCTTGCAGGATGGAACACAAATGTCTCCACTGAGAAAGGGCTGTGCTAGGCCAAGGTGAGCTCCAGTTTAAGGACCATCATGGTTTTCTGCGAAGGAAAAGAGCAGAGGCTTCTGCGAGCAGAGGAGGTGGATTGGGGCAGCTCTGATCACATCCAGGGTACCAAGGCATCCTCTCAGCCACACCTCAACACCTGGCTTCCCGCATCAGTTGTCAAGAAAATTTGACCTCCCCTAGCAGACGGTGGCGCACAGGGGGGCCCAATTAGGCTCGGGGTGGGGCAGACCTCTGTGTCCCCTGTCTCATGTCCTGGTGCAGCGGATGCACCCCAGAGCTTGGCTCAACATTAAAAGCCTGTCTTCCCAATTATCTGCAGCAGGCTTGCCTTGGGAATAATTGGCTCCCTGCAGCTCCTGCAAGGCGCTTTGCCTCCAGAGAAAGCAGGCCCCGGAACAATCATGTTGGTGCATGTGGCGCCCCAGACACACCCGATGGCCCCCAGGTCTCAGGACCAGCCCACCAGGGAGGCCCACCTAGAGGGGCAGATGGGCAAGGGGACGCCTCCTGCAAAGTGCTCCAGGAGAATGGTTTGCCCCTCAGGTTCGGACTCTGGGGAGATGGGAGCTGGAGACACCCACCGACCCCCAACCCACCCCACCCCATCATCCCAGGCCAGACAGCTCCTCCAGGTTCCACGCATAGGAGCTCCAGCTCTGCCCACTACCCCACCCCACCTCACACCCTTGTCCTCAGGTGTCCGCAGTCCCTCAGTGCCCTTCATCCAGCCTCCAGGAGCCTGCACTGAACGTCTCAATCTCCCTACCCCAGATGAGATACACCAGGAAGACAGGACAAGGCCTAATGTGACCCATGTGTGACACTGGCTCCGTGACCAAGAAGGATGCAGGGGCTTGTGGCCTTGGCTGGGTCCCAGATGACTTTGAGAGGCCGGTGAAACCTACAAGCTTCCTCCTAGGAACTGGCATAAACTCCAAAGTTTGCCTCCCTCCTCCAGCCCAGAGCGTCCACGAGGGGCCCCTTCACCAAGCACCTGCTGATTCTGGGCACCTTCCCCAGGAGCAGCCTGTGAAGGGCGAGGGCTGGGCAGGGTGGACATCTCAGGTGAGCTCAATCTGAACTGGCTTCACCTTGCTCCTCTTGGAAGCAGCGTTTTCAAGGATGGGGACGTTTTGTAATGATTAAAGGAAGCACCTTCCTACCGCTTACAAAAAATTGACTACAGCCACAAGCTCAATCTGAACTGGCTTCACCTTGCTCCTCTTGGAAGCAGCGTTTTCAAGGATGGGGACATTTTGTAATGATTAAAGGAAGCACCTTCCTACCGCTTACAAAAAATTGACTACAGCCACGACCACACCCTGCAGCACACGGAACAAAGGCCTTGTCCCTGGCCCTGCCTTCCTCCTCACCAAACACCCCTGGCTGGCTGTGCATCCCCTCCACCCTGGTCCTGGCCTGGGACCTCCCATCCAGTCACTGGGTTTCCTAGACCTCCTCATCTCCACTGTCCCAGGAAGCAGCCCCCGCCGCACCCTGCTCCATGGCACCCTTTGATTCAGGCTCCAAAGGGGCACTGAGGCCTCCAGCAGGCACAACCTTGTCCCCTTCCCATCAAGGCTGCAGCCGCTGGGAATGTTCTGGAGAATAGAGGCCATGGGGAGGGTGGAGGGGAGGCACGGGGAACCCTCTGCACCCGCCCCAGCACTGTCAGCAGCAGCTCAGGGAGAGAAAGCCTATGGGTCCTTGTGCATATGGCGCTTGGGGTCAGTGACTGTGCCAAGGGACAGTCTGGCCACCCAGAGGCCAGTGGGGGCGTGGCAGACCCTGGGTGGCAGCAAGGCTGACCCTGCCCATGTCTGCGGGTGGCCAGGGTCCCAGCCTCACTGGTGGTCCTGGGAAGGCTCCACAGCCAGGCGGGGCTGAGTGCTGACCCCCTCTCCCACTTATTTGACCCCAGACTTCCTGGCGTTCTCATCTCTAGAATGGAGTGAGGTGGGATGAAACAAGAGGACGAGGGACAAGAGAAAGCCTCGAGCTGGGGCGGGAGACGGGTGGACAGAATCTGCTGGAAGCATGTGGCAGCCACGAGCCTTTTATTCTGAATATAAGAGACCCCAGGAGCAGTTGGGGGTTTGTCTGGACTGGTACCTTGCAGTGGTGGGCAGTGGCCACGGCCAGGATGCGCCATCAGTTGTGGCTGAGGACGTGTTCTGGGCGGCGTTGGGGAATGCCATCCAGGCTCCCCAGGCTGGAGGGTCCTGTCTTTGGAACGGAGGGGCAGTCGGCGCCTGGGGGAAGGAACAGGCTCTGAGCCACTGCCCCACCCACCTTGGCTAGCTCCCTCCTGCCCTGTTCCTCGAGTCCGTGTCCCCTGGCCTGTGTGACAGCTTCTCCCTGCCCATTTTCCCTTGGCCCTGTCTGGTCCCCTGGAGCCCTTCCTTTCCTGCTGTGGGGCTCAGACCTCAAAGATGAACATGTCAAAGACCAAACTGACCCCAGTGGACAGCCACGGAGAGAGACAGGTTGTCTGCCGTCGTGTGCAGGCCACCACTCCAGAGCCGGGAGCTGCGGAATGTCATCTGGGAGCTGGAGGCTCAGACTCAGTCTGTGGCTCCCGGCACCCCAAAGGATTGCAGGTTCCTGCCAAACCCAGACTTCAAGTGAAAGGGACATGGCGTCTCCCACAAGCCCCTCTCAGCCACAGTGATTGGCTCCTAATTAAATTTGAGGAACTTGGGAATCGGCGACTTCCAACATCCCTCCCTCCCTCTGCTCAAAACCAGGGAATGCTTGGAATGTGTGTGTGGCTCATTGTAAGAGCTGGTTTTGAATTTCCAGTGCAACTCCTCCGATTTCACAAAATATTTCCCACTTTAGACATTTTCAAGTAAAGGAGATGGGCGTGCTGGCCTGGAGTGTGGAGGGACTGTATGGATGGGTCTGGGGCAAGCAGCCGAGGAACCGCCCCCCTCTCTCTCCTTTCAATCTGGCTCAGATCTTTTAAATCATGAAACAAAATTTCTGGTTCTTGGTGGCAGTTTCTGCACTGCTTCCCAGGTCTGGAGTCAGAATCCCCCCTCTTGGCGCCATGAGTGCAGTTGTCTGTGTTTTGGGGGCTCAGGAAGCAGGGTGTGAGTGCCAAGGGGAGGGCTTTGTGGGGAGGGTGGGACCCATAGCTGGAAGCCAGGAGTGGATGGCTGCCTTACCCACAGCAGGCGGCACCCACGATGCCCAAGGTCCCCCCTTGTCCAAGGTGTGGAGCCCGTTGCCAGACTGGCATGGGGAGGGCAGACTGCCTGTGGTGGATGAGGTCTGCCACCATGGAGCTCTGCACTTTCCTCAGATACTCCCAGCTCTGTCCTGCCTCAGGGCCTTTGCACTGGTAGTTCTTTCTGCCCACGTCCGGCTCCTTCTGGTCTCCTTTTCTGCAAGGCCCTTTTTTAGAACCTACTGAAGCAGCCCCCGCCTGAGTTCTATTTCTGCAGCACCCGGTTCGGGTCGCCATTTCCTCCCTGCCGGTTTAGCAGGCTCCCAGCATGGCACCTGCCCTGGTGCGTGCACCATAGAGACTGGGGTGCGGTGGATGGTGGGGGCTCCCTCGCCCTAGGGGTCCCTTGGGATTGCAACACAGGCTGGGTGCATGCTGGACTCTTGCCCCAGTCCTGCCCTCCATTTGCCCATGCTCTATCTTCCTGGCCAGGCCAGGTAGGTCAGTGCTGTGTCGGGAGCATGCTGTCTCAGAGGCCTGGCCACGGGTATGGGCACAGCCTGGTTCCCCGATGCTCCCTCTCCATAAATAAAAGATTCCCTTTCTCCTTCCAGCCTTGCGCAGCTGCCGCCTGCTCACTGGCCCGGCCCTTTGTGCCCACGTGTTGCCATGGAGACATGGGATTCAAAGACCTGGCACTTCAAGGCTTCCCTCCTCTCCTGGTAGGCCAGGGCGGGGGTAGCCAGGATGGTCGCCTGCCCAAGCCCTGGCGGGTGCTGCCTCCTGTCTCCATCCAGCTAAAAGCCAGACCCTGCCAAGGCTAGTGCACCCACTAATTCTCACTTTGGAGTGGCTGACTCTGGGCCCCTCCCTGGGAACAGGTGAGTTTTTACAGAGACCTTACACAAAGTTGAATATAATGAGGAAAACTGAGGCATGGCTGGTCCCTGGGGAGAGCTGGCTCCCCTTGGTCACCCTGCAGCACACAGAGGGCGCTGATGAGCAGCCAGCAGGCAGCGAGGTGATTCTGAAGATGCTTCCCTCCCTGAGCCTAATCTGCCTCTGTACAGTGGGATGCATCCTGCCTGGGCACCTGGCAGGGTCCCTGAGGCTCCAGGATAAGGGCCTGGAGAGCTGTCACCTGTCCTCCACGTCTCCAACACAGGATGGCCCGGGGCCGGCAGCAGGATTCGGGGTGAACTGCATGGGGCACCTAATCCAGTAACAAAGCCTGTTCCCTTCACGTTCCACTTGTCCTGCGGGTCGGAGCTGTCTCTGAGTCACCCCATCGAGCTCATAGCAGGGTCTTTGAGGCTCTTCTGCTTTCCGTCCTGTGTATCACTCACACTTTTTATCTCCCCACAATCCACCTTTTAATCATTTCCTCGGACTCATGCAACTAGAAAAATCTACAGCAGAATTTTCTGGTTGCAGCCAACCCACTCTCACCCACCCCCGCATGGCAGAGGAAGAGGCGGCCATTTGGATTCACCCCCCTCATGTGGCACTCGGGTAGGTCTGGGACCACTTATGTTTCCTATCCTGCCTAACAGAAGCAGTTCTCCAAATTTTAAGAAATGTCCGCAGATGTCTGGGGAGCTGAGCTCTATGTGGGGCTCAGGAATAAGACACACATTTCTTTGCGGAGAATCCGCCCCCCTTGCTTCAACCCAGGAACTCTGGTGAGGACGACCAATCACAGACTCTCTCCCTGGCCCCAGGGCAGGCCTGCCCCTCAGGGACTTCCCTGGGAGTTTACAGGTTGGAGGGCAGGAAGCCGGGGAGAGGTAGCCACCCCCCTCCATCTGCAAACTGGGTCACCCTTAGGGGTGGGGCCGGGTCAGGTCCTAACTCAAAACCCACCGCCACACCCAACAGCGGGACAGAGAGACGGAATAAACCCACCAGGCCTCCCACCACTAGGAAGAGAGCTGCAGAGTGTTCCAGGAAGGGGGCCGGTGTCCTGGGAGGAGAGCAAGGGTGGACAGTACAGGACTGAGCCTGCCATTGAAAAATAGACGAGGACAAACTGTCTAAGCCAGGGCTGGGTCAGCACTGGGCAGGGGGCGGGAGTGGGTCCTGCTGTTTTCGTTCTGTATATCCTGGATTTTTTTTTTTTTTTTTTTTTTTTTTT